TTCAGGGAAATATCTACATCAAACCAATTTTGCCTTTACAGTATGCAGACATTTGAGTGGTGCTGTGATTTCCCACCCCCTCTGGCTGCACCTACATTCCTTTCCTCACAAGGCTACTTAATCTAATTTTATGACAGATCAATAAATGAACCTAGCAATAGAGGCAATTTGTTATATTTGGATCCTGGTAAATTTTTTGTTCCCTTTGTTAGTTTTTAATTTTATTTAATTTGATTATTTTTGAAAGTATTACAAGTAATGCAAATTAAGGGTTTTGACTTATACTCCTTAGGACATGACTGGAAAGATGAATTTTCTCATATTATGGCAATGACAGATCCAGCTTTTGGATCTTCAGGAAGACCAGTGTTGGTTTTATCTTGTATTTCTCAAGCAGACGTAAAAAGAATGCCCTGTTTTTATTTGGCTCATGAGCTGCGTCTAAATCTTCTAAATAACCCATGGATGGTAAGGTCCTTTATTCTCTGGTGACACAAATCTTATTTTATTCTTCACTCTATTTTCTATTTGATTTTATTTTTTCCTATTCATCCTCTTTAACGAAATGTCATTCTAAAATCAGTTTTAATAGCTTAATCTATTATTAATAACAGGTTAATCCAAGCTATCCAATTGGTGGTAATTACTAAATCTCAGCTGATCATTGTTTCCTACTTTCCTCTCTTCTCATAGAAACAGTGAGATAATAATTAGGGATTTTTCTTTTTCAGATGCCATTATCATGGTGTTTTCAGCATCAATGTATTATACTTTAAGGATCATCAAAAATATATGTTCCATCATAGGTTATTGCTTTCTAGAATATATTTTAATCATGGAATCCTTTCTTCAAATGAAAGCTCCTCGGTAAAACAGACAAAGAAAAATTAAAGTTGGAAATGCTTTTGCAGAAAAAGTTAGACGATTTTTTTTTGTTCCTCCCTCTATCTCTTCCCTGGAGCTCCAGAGATGCCTTATGAAAAGCTACTGGTAAAAGTTTACCCTCCTGAATGGTGGGAGCCTTAGCTTTATAGTTAGGAGTGGCAGTCTTTAAGACACAATTTTGCAACAGAATGTCACATTTATCAGCTGACTAGCTGGGTTTTAGTTTTCAAAGTGGATCCTTTGGAGGAATTTTTTTTTCCTCTGTTATAAACAAGCAAGTCACAGAAATGGTAGTTCCTCCTATTTCCAAAGCTGAGTTCTAAGGTAAATGATAATCCTGACATTGGTAATTGCTGTAAGACATGAGAGAAGTTCATATTTTTATCTAAGTGCTCTAGAAAACAAAACTTGAATGACTTATTCTAAGTTTATTGAAATTATTTTTAGTTCTGTTCTTTTTTTAGTGTCTAGAAAAAAGTCTCTCTTAATCATAAGATTTTGGACTCAGTTTTTTACAGTGTTCTCTTATCTGTTCATAGGTCCAGGATACAGAAGCTGAAACCCTAACTGGTTTTTTGAATGGCATCGAATGGATTCTTGAAGCAGAATCTAAACATGCAAGATGATCCTCCATTTGGACTTTGCGAACTGAAGCCATTTGAAAGTTGTTCCTAAGGTCATGATGTGGTTATTTGCTCAGTCAGCCTACTTTGTCCTGCCTTCTTTTCAGGTGGGCTTTATATTGGACAGCTGTAGCTGCTGTGTTTGTGATATTATTCTTAATTTTTATCTTAAATCAATTACAAGAAAAAAGTTTCAATCCTAGTATTTAGCCCCAAAATGAACCTTTAAACATTTTTTTTGGTAACTTTTATATTTCCTGTCTTTTAAAAAATATTAAATTCTGGAAAAAACAAGTTTGTACCTCTCTCATTTCTTGTGGTTTATATTCTATTCAGTACAAAGATTGCCCTAGTGGAAACAGCAGAGTTGCTAAGCTTTTCATACAGTCTTTTCAAAGACTCATAATTGGTTTATCAGAAAGGAAGTTTTATCTTTTCTTAATAAATATACTGCTTAAAGAATGAAAAATTCACTGGAAATGCATTTAATATTATATTATGGCCATACAACTTCTGTCTTATTCTGAAACAGTAAAAAGCACGCTTATGTCATATTTAATACTATTTCAGTGAAAAATAACTTCCTGGTAGTTCTTAGTATTTACAAATAACTTTGAATGCTCATGAGGTATTAATACCAGGTTCTATTCCATACTCATAGAGAAAACATTCCAGAGACTTACATGTATCATGTTACCTCCTTCCCCAAACTGCTTGCGCTTTGCAGAGGAAACACCCTAGTATCTCATTGAAAGTGAGGAATTTTAAGATTATAGTAAAAGGCATAAATACCTACATGTAGTTCATAGAAGTTCCATGTTTAAATGTATTTCCATTTTGGACAGAAAGCTTGTAATATATATTATGTTAATATATATAACTATATTTAGTCTCATTTAGGTGAATGCCATTAGCATTTTGACCTTTTCATCAAGGAGGCAGAATTTTGCCTATTTGGTTGCGGTTAGGAGGCCTTTGAGGAAAACCTGTGAACATACAATTTCACATTTGCCAGGATATTTATTTAGATACTTGTGATTTTACTACAGTAAAGTATTATTTCTAATAATAATAGTTAATCCAAAGTTATGATGTAACAGTAGTTTAATTACTGAGCACCACATGGAAACAGCACAATGCTTTCATATCAGCTATCTTTTTTTAAAACAGCATTTCAATGCTATAATTAAGGTATTATCTTTGATTCATAGAGAAAATAAAATATTCAGATATTTTAGTATCAAATCCTAGGTCATTCACAAGATTAAAACCAGTATCTTATATTTTGTCTTTTCTTATATAACACTCTAGTATTTATAATCTAGGTTTTCATTAAAGTAAGATATTTTTCCAGTTTTTAGTTTAATTTTCCACAGAGTCCAAATCAAATCTGTCCTCCTCTATATACTATGAAATTTTAGTCTCTTTTGTATTAATTCATTTTAAATGGTCTTTTCTCTCAATTATCTGTGGATAG